TACGATGTCTTTAAAATCACAAAATCTATATACAATTATGCTTGATAGAATTGTATTATGGGTTTTTATCAGATATGTAAAAGCCTCCAATAAAATGATTAGTATTAAAAAAATCCAAATTCTTTCCAATATAGACTGGATCAAAAGATTCTGATTTTACACACACATCATGCAATATTAGTCACCCATGATTATATATTTTCTATATATGGCTATGCTGACCTCAGCTTGCTTTTTTGTTTGTTTTTTGCTCCTCAGTAAACATGAAAAATGTCTTCACAACTATATCTAGAAAGGAATAATTATTGCTTTCAAAACCTATCTAGAAAGAGAACCATGTGAGGGAAGAGGTAAAACACCAAGGAGTAAAGCAGATTAAGTGGAGACAAACTCTAATTCCCCTTCACCTGCTCAGCTTCCAGATCATTGGTGGCCCGTATTTTATCCTTGACACAGGAAATTGAAAACTCCCAGTGGAGACAGACCAGAGAACAAAATAGTCCCTGATGCTGCTGTAGGGAGGGAGGTCTCTACATGGAGCCACCATAAGCTTTTGATGAACTTTTTGTTTTGTTTTGTTTTGTTTTGCAGTGGAGGGGGTCTTATTTTTAAATATGAATGAACAGCAAAAGGCCAGCAAGCGTTGAGGGAAGCCTCTAGTGAAAAATAGGGGCCAAAGCATTCATGAAGGCTAAGAAAGTGATACAGAAGAAATAGGCAAATTTTTGTTTGTTTGTTGGTTGGTTGGTTTTTAAATCATTTTATTGGGGGCTTGTACAACTCTTATCACAATCCACACATATATCCATTGTGTCAAGCACATTTGTACATTCGTTACCCTCATCATTCTCAAAACATTTTCTTTCTACTTGAGCCCTTGATATCAGTTCCTCATTTTCCCCCCTTCCTCCCCTCCCTGCCTCCCTCATGAACCCTTGATAATTTGTAAATTGTTATTATTTTTGCATGTCTTACACTGACCGATATCTCCCTTCACCCACTTTTCTGTTGTCCGGCCCCCCAGGGAGGGGGTTACATGTAGATCATTGTGATTGGTTCCTCTTTGTTCCCCCACCTTACCCTTACCCTCCTGGTATCACTATTCTCCTTATTGGTCCTGAAGGTTTCATCTGCCCTGGATTCCCTGTGTTTCCAGTTCCTGTCTGTATCAATGTACATCTTCTGGTCTAGCTGGATTTGTAAGGTAGAATTGGGATCATGATAGTGGTGGGAAGGAAGCAGTAAAGAACTAGAAGAAAGTTGTATGTTTCATCAGTGCTATACTGCACTCTAACTGGCTCGTCTCGTCCCCGCGACTCTTCTGTAAGGGGATGTCCAGTTACCTACAGATGGGTCCTCACTCCACACTCCCCCTCATTCACAATGATATGATTTTTTTCAATTTGATACATTGAGGCAATGTTTTTTAAGTTGTAGAAACCTTAAAAACAAAAAATACTTATGTTAATATTCATAGAAAATATTGTACCCACAGCCAGGAAAAGAGAAAAATCAGAGAACAAAGGATATATCCACAGAAATCAAACTGTAATTCCAGAAATTCATAGTTCGGTAAAGAAGGAATGTACTGGGTTCTCTACAGAAGCAAAGCCAGTAGGGGTGTGTGTATGTGTGTGTGTGTGTGTGTGTGTGTGTGTGTGTGTGTGAGGTGTGTGTGTGTAAAATGTGTGTGTGTGTGTGTGTGTGTGTGTGTGTAAAATGGCTCTCGTATGTATAATTAGAAAAATCCACTTCAAATTCAGTTGGGTTTCAAGTCCATGGATTACATACATGGTAAGCTGGAGATTTCTCTGGACTTGAGACGTTTCCAGAACTGATGAACCCAAGGTCAGCAGAAAAACAGACTAGAGCAGTGGTTCTCAACCTTCCTCATGCTGTGACCCTTTCATTCAGTTCCTCATGTTTGTTGCTACTTCATCCAGTTCCTCATGTTTGTTGCTACTTCATCATTGTAATTTTGCTACTGTTATGAATTGGGTGAACTCTGAAAGACTCGGCTGACCCCCCAAGGGGGTCGCGACCCATAGGTTGAGAACCGCTCGACTAGAGGAAGATGAATCCAGGTTCTGCAGGACAGGCTTTTGGCTGAAGAGGCAAATGAATCCAAGATCAACAGGTCACGTGGCAGGCTGCTGATTGCTACCAGGATTACCAGGCAGTATGGTAGGCCATTGGCTCAAGTCCAATCAATCAGATCAATGAGCCAGATCCAGGATCCAGACCCAGGGAAAAATATTTTATTTTACTTGGATCTACAGCCAATACTCCTGAAAGTAACAATGAAGTCCAAGGGTGCACTGCACTCGACAAATTATTGCAAAAAACCTCTTTATAAAGTGTTATAAAACAAAATTGTTGCTTTGAGGATACATGGTGCACCTGACCTAAATCAAAATATTTCCAATTTCTTCTTTCAAAAGCTAGACAAAGCATAAGGAAGACTGAAGAAGATGCCTTGGGATTACAACATTGACAAAGAATATTGAATATAGCATGGACTGCCAGAAGAATGGAACCCTCTAGGAAGGTGTACTGCTAGTCTACTCCTGAGAAGTGATCATGATGAGACTTCATCTCACATATTTTGAACCTGCCCATCTGCCCAGAGGCCAGGGTGTCCCCAGCCCACCAGCAGGGGTGAGCAGAGGCTCCACCTGGCCGGTGCAGCCAGCCCTCTGAACGCTGTTCAGAGACCCTTCTCCAAGGAAAGCCTGCTCTGCAGCCATTGCTCCCAGGCCTGCTGCTTCCTTAATATGCAAAAGAGCTTAACTTTTCACTACCGTTGTACATGTGAAATGCTTAGTAGCAAGATAAGGGAAGAGAAGAGTAGGTATCGCAGTGCCTATCTTAGTTGTCGGTTGCTAATGAACAAATCACCCCAAACTTAGAGACTTAAAACAGAAACAGTCATGCACCACTTCTTCATCGTTTTTGTGGATGTCTCTTCAACCAGGGGGCAACTTATCATGGTTCAATCAGAAAATTGAAGGTTTGGGGCTGGAATACCTTAAGGCTGGTTCACTGGTGCCAGCAGTTGGTGCTGGCTATCACCTGGAAACCTGTCTCAGGCTTTCCACTGGAACTTGTACCTCATCTCTCCATGTGTTCTGACCTTCTAAGAGCAAGACTCCCAGGAGAGGGGCAAAGCACCTGGGAAAGTAGAAGTCCTGTTACCTGTAACTTCACCACTTGTGCTGCATTGGATTGAAGTGATTACAAGCATTCGCCTAGATCCAAGGAGAGGGATTTCAATGTCACTGTAAGAGGAGCATGTGACACACGATGAAAAGTGGTATGACTATCTTTGGAAAAGTAATTTGGCACAGTGTGCATTCAACCTCTACCTAATTCAGCTTCTAGCACAATGGCTATAAAATTAACTCCTGTTCATGTCATTTACCTACCCTGGTTGCTAACCAAATGTGATAAGTGCTCCTTTCCCCCTAATTATGAGACTGAGGTTTACACAGCGACAAGAAGATGAAAGACTTGAGAGAATGATGTAGCAGTTCTTAGAAAAAGGAAATTTTTCTTGAAAGCGAGATAATTGTTCAAATGTGTCTGTTGTGGCTGCTCTGAACGGGATCGCAGTAGGAGGTCCTTGGTAAGATGGAGGAGAATGTGGAACAAAATTCAAAATAAGTTTTGAAAGACTAGGTTTAGTGATGTGGCAGAGACATGTGGAATGCCCAGGACCATGACCCTCAGACACCCTTCATGCCTAGAACTGAGCTTGCCCCATGACTCAGCGTCCAGCTACTAGACAGGTCTCTGAGGTAAACAGGAGGCCCAGGATGCACACATGCCTGAGAACCATCAGTTCTATGACATCAAAAGGGTTTGTGCTGCATCTTCCCAGAGATAAAACTCAAGGCAAAAAGGGAGAGTGTCAATGGGCAAAGGGAAATGGTAAGCATGAGAAAGCCTTAGGAAGAGTGCTGTTACCGTATGGCATCTGCAGTCAAACATAACACAATATGTATAAGTTGTGGAATCAAAAACCAGTTTGCTCTGTAACTTTCACCCAACTCACATTTGAGAAGAAGAAGGGAAAAAATTTCATTAAAGAAGCTGTTTTAATTAATACCTTTGTGAAAAATGCTTCCAGGACAAAAGAATACTTTAATATGAATAACATCTCCGTGCTTAAGTTTAAGCTTGCCCGCTAACCAAAAAATCTGCAGTTCACACCCACCATCCACACTCCACAGGAGAAGGGTGTGGCTATTGGCTTCCCCAGAGATTTGCCACCAGGAAGCCCACAAGGCCAGTTCTACTCTGTCCCATGGGGTCCCTATGAGGCAGGGTGGGCTCAGTGGCAATGAAATGGATCTGGTTTTATTGCATTGTATTGCTACAGTAAAAGCTATGGAAGCCAAACCTGTGTAAGGCCTGACAGAGAAGGAAAATTCAAATACTTTCCACTGAAATGAGCTATAGAATAGTAGTAAGACTGCACCCAGGAAAACGTGCAAGACCTGGGAAAGGAAGGCAGTTCAGTTTCTGATGGTTCTGCTGAAGCTGGGGCATGAAAATATTTTCCTAGGCCCTTGAAATACTCAGAGGTACCGCTGGCTTCTTTCCCTGACACACGTTGACAGCATATAGTCTATAAGTAATGTATATTTTCAGTATGTAAGTACTCTCCCCAACATACCTCACCTCCTCACTAGCACTTCTGTTTCCTCATCTGAAACACGGGAGTGAATGCAGCACTGCCTCACAGAGCAAGTGTGAGGATTTGATGAGATGATGTATGTAAAGTTCTTGGTGCATAGTAATTGCTTTAGGAAGTATTGGCTATATTAACCGTGTTTTCTAGATACTCATACATGAAGAGTCATGACACTGAGTTCATTTCCAAAGAGGTATTTGAAGGGTAAAGGAACATGACTAATGAATATATTTTGTTAAGTTGCTTCATTTCCTAAGTACATAATAGAAGGCTTCTTAATTTCATAACTATGTGCTTTTTCTAGTTCGAAAAAGAGAAACAGCATGATATCCGATCATTTTTTTTGCCCAAAGTGAAGAAAAGACCGTCAGTGACCTCCTGTGATGACTCAAGGTCATTCCCCGAGAGATATGCTGAAGAGCGACCGGCTCCTAAAAGAACAGCCGCACGGTCTACCAGTGAATATGGAAGTGATCGCGGACCTGCCGTCAAAAGATTGAAATGGGTGGTGGTTGAGGACTCCTGCGGTGGCCAGGGGGCTAAGCCATTCCAGCCCAGGCAGATCACAGCGCCCCTCATGAAAGGTACCCCAGAGGCCAAGGCCCAGCCTGCCACCCCAGCCCTTCCTGGAGAGGGCTGGCAGTGTGGTTTCTGCACCTACATCAATAATCCAGTGTTACCTTATTGTGAAATATGTGAAAATCCTCAAGGCAGTGCTGGTGAGTACACGTGGGTGGCCATGGCGGCGGGGGTGGGGTGGGGGTGGGTGGGGGTGGGCTTCAGATCACTTGAGTAGCTACCCTGTCAGTTTGTTTCAGAGAATGACTACTGGTTTTAAAGATGCCTGTGACTCGGCACTGACTGTAGCTTTTAAACTAGAGGAAGAACTTCACATAGTGAAGAGTGTGAATTCATCCCCTTCTGGAATGTGAAAAGCTCCCAGCTCTGTTGAGAATGTGTACCCCAAGCGTCTGTAGCATGGCATTAGTTTGGCACAAATGGACATCTCTGATTAATGTCAGCAGGATCTGAATTCAGTGGGCAGGAATAGAATCTCTGTTGCTATGGCAACAAACATGCCTTTTAGACCTCTCTTCATTCCTCTAGATATTACTTGTTTTTTAAAAAAATTAAGCTTTTTGTTGTTACAATGATTTTCAATGTTGATGTAACCAAAGAATTCATTGTATCTTCTTTGGTAAATATACATTGTGCCTTTAAAAAAAAATTATTTTATTGGGGGCTCATACAACTCTTATCACAATGCATACATACATCAATTGTGTAAAGCACATTTGTACATTCATTGCCCTCATCATTCTCAAAATATCTGCTCTCCACTTAAGCCCTTGGCATCAGCTCCTCATTTTTCCCCCATCCTCCTGTTCTCCCCTCCCTCAAGAACCCTTGATAATTTATAAATTATTATTTCGTCATATCTTACACTGCCTGACATCTCCCCTCACCTACTCTTCTGTTGTCCATCCCCCAGGGAGGAGGTTATATGTAGATCCTGTAATCGGTTCCCCC